GGAAAAGAAAAATGCAGGAGTCTGGGTTCGAAGCTTCTCCACTTCATAGTGTTGTGTTCTTTGGCAAGACGTGCCGCTCTCACAATGCCTCTTTTCACCTTAGAGTGTAAAATGAGTATTGGAGGACTCCCAAGGAAACCTGACGACATCCCATTCAGATGGACTAGAGGATGGAATTTCTTCAATCCATGCACAGAACGTGGGATTTTCTCCAGCTGGATTTGGCACTTGATTGGAGCAACAACTTTAACTTGATGTTCCTTTAACCTGTTACTTCACAACGCAAAAACATCCCCAAATTAACAAATTAAGAGCCAGAACGCAAAGCCCTTTCATAGCTGGGCGATTTTTAAGAAACGTTTATAAATCAATTTACATGGAAACACAGCACTTTCAATGATTAGGGCTAAATCTAACCAAAGAACTAGGACAACAGAAAAATAAATCTGTTGAGCTAAAGTTCTTTCAAGCTAGGATCGATCTTGTGCCCCGCGCAATCCATTCCTTTACAGTGAAGTAACTGTTAGAACATTTTCATTTAAAGTTCTTCTGTTATCATTAGCTCTTACGAAAAAGCTGGCACCACAAGTTTGTCTTCTAATCCTTCCACAGTTTACATATACCGCAGAGCAAAATGTTTTGGAAACTCCTTTTGCATCGCCCGATTCATTAATTATCGGATTAATCCAGGCAGAAACACAAACTAAAACCACTGGCGTTGATTTAAAACCAGAAGGAATCGTCATTCCAACACCAAACTTCACAATTGTCACGATAATATTGGGTATCCAAGAAACGCAAAATCCAGTTACGGTAACGAGAAGTACTCGAGAAGTTTTTATTTCCCGCGCATGCGGTACACCTTGGATATTTGCTTCTTGTACAAAAGGGACTACAACATTCTTGTGCTGCCGAACGACGCTGTAGACTCTAACATAACCGAATAACACCGTCAGCATTGATAGAAAAGTAAATATCGCAAAACTTATAGAGGTGCCAGTTGTAGTATTTTCTTCCTCAAAGGTAATTTTGCAGTAAAGGGCATTAGTGCACTATTAGAAATGAGCTTGCATAGCAAAGTAGAAAGTTGATAGAAAATAAACATAATAATCCAGACGTAAAAAATGGATAGTATAGTTTTCTTTCGATTGAAGAAATAAAAGTATCGTTGTGGTTTCACAACGCAAGAATATCCATTAATTGATGTTGGAGTTAAAAACACTCGCAAACCATCTTTCGTATTGGTACTTTTGTCAAATTGCACAGGCTCAAGTTTAGTTCCTCTCCATCTAGTTTGTCCTTGATTTCCTCCTTGGACAATTATCTAATCATCTTTGATGGCCTACTTCAACCTTCACATCCCCTAAACAGCTGAGTAGATGTACAGGGTACTCGTCATCCCAAATGAGACTGCATGAGCCCGCTGTATCTTTAGGGACAAGTGATACAAAAGAGCAGGTGGTTCCCCAATCCTTTTGGAGTGCCATGCTTGTTACATGGCCATCGTCCAGCTATACTGAACCCATAGAAACTGGTCATTATTTGGGGTCAGAGGATTTGGGCGGGGATCATATGGTTTTCGGAGGGAATGGAAGGGATATCAGTTGTTTCTCAGAGAGCTTAATAGGAGGGGGGGGATGGGTGGGGGCTACAGAAAATTGACTATCAATGGAGAGTAATCATCAGAATACTACAAAACCGTATGGGGGATCAGGTATTAAACTCGTCCGACGTCCCTCTCCCCCGCCACCCGGCGATTGACAATGACCAATCCATTAGCGAGCCTTAAAATTGAACCCTCCCTCCTTTTCCTTTGTTTTGATACACTTCAAATTAGACTCGAATAACAAATTGAAATTTATGGACTATATTAGTTATATTAGTTTTGACTGAGTCTCTAATGTCTATCGTCATTCTCTTCTACGCAACTCCCAGAGAGACAGATAAATACGGATTCATGATTTCTGTGCATTTTATTGATCATAAATTGACAAAGTCATAAATAAATAAATAAATAGATAATCAAATAAATACATCAACAATGCATCTGCACAGAAGGATCAACTGTCTGACAACCAACTAACAAAAAGGAAGGTAATTTGATGTTATCAATTGAGTTGATAACTTAAACTGGCCACCGTAAAGAGTATAAAAGCTGACATTTCGAGCGTTTCGTCACGTCCGTTTTTAAACTCCTTACGGTGGCCAATTTAAGTTATCAACTCAGTAGAAAACATCAAATTACTTTGTTACACTCTCCCACCGACGCAGCAACACAGTTTCTTTAGTAACTTACCCGCCTTTATTCTTTTTCTTGTTAGCCATAACACAGCGAAAAATATTAGCAGTTAGACGAAAATTTAAGAATTTTAACCGTTAGTCGTAAAAAATGTCAACCGTAAATATCGTTCTTTTGATAACAAAGAAAAAAGATAAATCGGAAATCGTGAAATGGCCAAAATTTTAAACTGCTAGCTGTAAAAGCTATAGCCCCTTTGAGAATCTCTTAAACATATCACTTCTAGACCCTTTGCATGCATGCAGACCTCTAGCCGGCTAGCGTTTCTCAAATAAACCCTTACTTTTTC